TCCACGTCTTATCAATGTCTCCAAATAACTCAGCTGCAAAATTCACAACAGATAATTCTTGACGTATCATTTCAAAATTTGCTATAATTTCAAAATATCATTATTCCTTATCTTGATATGCAGCAAAACATCGAACTTAATAGAGCAATAATCACTTGCACCCAGATGTTTCCCAGTTTCCACTCTCTCGATCATTTCTATATTCTAAGTTAACAATAAATCTAAAATAGCACTGTTTCTAGTAGGTTCCTTGATTAATTGGTGAAGAAACCCATTCAGAATAGTTTCCTTTCTCCCTCATGGTTTGGCTCTAGATTTTCCCAATCTATATGCCTGAAATTAAAATCACCCATAATAATGACTTCATTAACAGCTTAAATTTTAATCTCATTGTAACATTTCTCACTAATTTCATCAGTATCATTTGGTGGTATTTAACAAATTCCCACTAAAAGCCTTTTCCCTTTATATCCACTAATAGAAACCTAAATGGATTCAGTTTTTGATTTTACATATAAAGCCACTCCCTCTCTTTAATACTCTACCTCTATTAAATAGCCTGTAACCCTGCATTTAAAATAAATTTCTGTCATAAAAATCATCTACGTTTAACCATGTTTCAGTTATTCACATTATATCAAAATCCACCATTCCTAGCAGTAATCTAAAGGCATCTATTTTATTTCTAATACTTCTAGCATTACAATAGTAACAATTTACCCTATCCTTATAACTACTTCTATACTCATTTCCTATGCTAAACTTTTCTCTGTCTCTTATTCTTTTTAATTTAGTTTTTCCTGGCCCTCACCACTGTCTAATCCTAATTTAAAACTTCTCTTATAGCTGAGTTAATAGCCTTAGCAAACAAGCCAGTTCTACCCTATTTAAATGTAAACCATCCATTCCAAAAACTCTCTATTTCCAATGAATTGATCCCACAAGTCCAACCATTCAATCTGCTCATCCTTGCATACTAACCTAAGCCTAACATTTAACCCTAGTAGTTAACTTACAACTTCATCCCCACAGTCAATTCTGGGCACTATACTTGACAAACTTAAGTTATGGCCTTTTTCTTTAAATGTCTTTATCAGCCCCTTGTACTTATTGATTAGCTCCGCTGACCTACCTTTCCCCACATCATTAGCCCCTACATGCACCACAAAAACTGCATGTTTGCCTGCTATATCAGTTATATCCTCCACCTGTACCCCTAATAAGCATAATCTGATTCTTTTCTTCCTATATACCCTACAGAGTATTCTATCCACACGACTTGTCAAGGAATCACCTGCATCTGGATTTTTAGAAAGCATTTGACAAGGTGTCACATAAAGGTTATGTCAGTAGGTGTGGGAGAAAGTTGGCTCATTGGATGGAAAACTGGCTAGGTGAGAAAGAAACAGAGTTATTATAACTGAAGATCAGTCAAACTGGATTAATGTTACGAGTGGAGTACCTCAGGGCTCAGTGTTAGGACATTTGCTCTTTTTGATTTACATCTATGACCAGTGGCGTAGCAAGGGTTCTCAGCAACCAGGAGCAAAGACACTTTTGGCGCCCCCACCTCTGAAATGTTTTGATTATTTGTTTTCTGACTCATTACCCACTTAATGACAATAACATAAAGAATTAATTACCGCCTTACAGGCCTAAAATAAAGTCACACTATAACATCTCACGATGTGGTGTACATGTATTATAAAACAGATTGATAAAATACTACTTAAGTTTACAAATAACAAATTTTATTAGTTTACAAAACTGTACATATACTTAACTAGACCTTGTACAGGTAGCATTCTGGCATTCACGGTTACATTATATGAACCTTTCGTGCTTTTGCTGCTGCAAATGCATCAATTAAACTATCAACATTTAAGGTATTAAGTACGTCTTTTTAAATACTTAATATTGCCAAGTTACTAAGTCGATTTTGAGTCATTGAGGTTCTCGAGTATGTAAGAATTAATTTCAGCTTGCTGAAGGACCTTTC